GCCCCGTTCCCTCCGGACCCCCCCCTCCCGGTCCCAACCGACCCATCTCCGTCCCCGCAGCTGCGGGATCCGGCCCGGCAACGCTACGAGGTGCCCCTGGCCACGCCGCGGGTGAGCGGCCGTGCCACCTCCCCGCTCTACGAGCTGTGGGTCAACCAGGAGCCCTTCGGCCTCGTCGTGTCCCGGCAGTGCGGGGGGAAGGTCCTGTGAGTGCCCCACACTGTCCCGAGTGGGGAGTGGGACCCCCGAGTGGGGAGTGGGACCCCTGAGCCAGGGACGGGACCCCCTTGCGTTCCCCAGGGGATTCAGTTTGGAAGTGGGACCCAACACTGGCCCTGGTGGTACATAGGGTGGGAGCTGGGGTGCAGCAGGGGACACTGGTGACACGAGTGGGGTGGTGACACCAGCAGGGTGGTGACACAAGTGGGATGGTGGCAGTCAGCGGCTGCGGGGGCTTTGCTTTGACCCCCTCCACATTTGGGTGGCCGGGAAGGGAAGCAGGAATCCCAGATCTTCACCAAAACCTGGTTTTGTTTCACATGGTGACAAGCATCTGTGTGTCCCCCCCCCCAAGGACTGGTGGTCCTCCAGCTTGGTGCGCTGGGCACCGGGGGGGGGTGGTTTGCCGCAGTCTCCGTTCTCTCCCCCCAGGCTGAACACCACCGTGGCACCCCTCTTCTTCGCAGACCAGTTCCTGCAGATCTCCACCTCCTTGCCCTCCCGTTTCATTTCTGGGCTGGGGGAGCACCTGACGCCGCTGGTCCTTGACACGGCATGGACCAGGGTCACCCTCTGGAACCGGGACATGGCGCCCGTGGTACGGAGCGGGGCTGAGGCGGGGGGTGATGGCTCATCTGCACTTGTGGTGGTGGCCCCACGGCCTCTTGTGTCTCGTTTGGGGCTGGGGAAAGGCGTCTGTGCTGGTTGAGCTTTGGGTTACACCCCATGGTGACATTCCTGGCTGGTGGCAAGGGGCCAGTGGGTGGGGGTGTGTGTGCCAGGGTCTCTGGTGGAGCCTCATTGGCACCACGCTGTGCTCTGCTCCAGCCCCAGGTCAACCTCTACGGCTCCCACCCTTTCTACCTGGTGATGGAGGACGACGGTTCCTCCCACGGTGTCTTTCTGCTGAACAGCAACGCCATGGGTGAGTCCTGCGGAGGTGCCGGGCGTGGGCTTGGCCTCCATCCCTGTCCTCAGCTCATTCCTCTGGTGCTCGTTCCTCCCCCAGATGTGCTCCTGCAGCCCAGCCCGGCCCTGACCTGGCGCACGACGGGTGGGATCCTGGACTTCTACATCTTCCTGGGCCCTGACCCCAAGAGCGTGGTGCGGCAGTACCTGGATGTCGTCGGTAGGGCCGAGCCGCGGGCGGGGGGCACGGGTGGTCCCAGGATGGCTTTTTGGGATGCTGCATGGCTGGCACGGTGGAGGGGGGACACAGGGGATGGCAGTGCTGGGCCATCCCTGCCCCTGCCTGACCAGTACCCATCTCCCCCTTCCAGGTTTCCCCTTCATGCCCCCGTACTGGGGCCTGGGCTTCCACCTCTGCCGCTGGGGCTACTCCTCCACCGACATCACCCGGCAAGTTGTGGACAACATGACGGCAGCCCGCTTCCCTCTGGTGGGTCTTACCTGCTCCCCGGGAGCCTCTGCCCAAAAGGGGCTGATGGGGAGCCCCTGTGGGGTGTGGGGGTGTCCCTGCTCCTCCCCGAGCACCGGTGCTGCCACTGGCAGGACGTGCAGTGGAACGACCTGGATTACGCGGATGCCAAGAGGGATTTCACCTTCAACAAGAAAAGCTTTAAGGACTACCCGGAGATGGTGCAGGAATTCCACCGCCGCGGCCTGAGGTACATCATGATCGTGGTGAGTGACACCGCCGGCCCCCCTGGGGACCCCACACGAGGGGGCTGGCATTGGGGTGTCCCGCTGCCCCCAGGGGGGTGATGGAGCTTCCTCTGAGGAAGGTGGGGGAGGCCGATCCGTGTCCTCGCTGGTGAAGCCCTGGCTTTGTGTCCCACCAGGATCCTGGGATCAGCAGCTCGGGGCCTCCCGGCACCTACAAGCCCTTTGACGAGGGACTGAAGCGAGGGGTCTTCATCCGAAATGCCACGGGGCAGCCCCTGATTGGGAAGGTATGTTTTGGGGGGCAGCCCCCATCTCGGCGGGAGGGGTTTCAAGGGGGGCCCCAAGAGCTGGAGGGGCACAGCTGGGGAACGGCCCTGGTGGAAAACAGGGTGGCACATGGGGGCTGCGGGGTGCAGGGGGTCAGGGAGAGGAGGGCTCTGCCCGTTGCTGCCTCCCTCCCGCAGGTCTGGCCGGGCCCCACAGCCTTCCCGGACTTTACCAACCCAGAGACTCACGAGTGGTGGTACGACATGGTGAAGGACTTCCACGACCAAGTGCCCTTCGATGGCATGTGGATTGTGAGTGGCCCTGGCAGAGCTGCCGGCTGCGGCTCCCTGGCTCCTCTTCTGCATCTCTGCCAGGCTCTGGTGTGGCAGGAGGGCACCCCTTACCTTCGTCTTCCCTCTCTAGGACATGAACGAGCCGTCAAACTTCGTGGAGGGCTCCCAGGATGGCTGCCCCAACAACAACCTGGAGCATCCACCCTACGTGCCAGGTACAGGGAGCGGGTCCCAGCCTCTGCCCCGGGGTCTGGGGATGCCCCAGTCCCCCGGGAAGGCTCTGAGCTCTCCCTTGGTACCACCTCTCCTGTGCAGGTGTGTTTGGGGGACGGCTCCAAGCGGGGACCATCTGTGCCTCCAGCCAGCAGTACCTGTCCTCCCACTACAACCTGCACAGCCTGTACGGGCTGACCGAGGCCATTGCCACCCACAAGTAAGCCTGGGCCTGGTGCTGCAGCTCCTGCTGCCCCAGGGGATGCACAGCCCAGGGGGAGAGAGCCCTCCCAGTGCTGTAGCATGGGCAGTTTGGGCACAGGGGGGGCACTGGGTGGGTGGGTGATGGTTTGGTTTATAACCCAGCACACTGCCCACTGCTGCCAGACCCCCCCAGAGGGGCTGGGGCTGGTGTGGTGCAGCTGTGCTGGCTCGTGGGCTGGGGGATTGAGTCCTGAGCACCGTCCCGTGTCACCCACCCCATGGGCGAGATGGCACTGGGCATCTGCCCCGGCACTGGGCTGCTGCCAGGAGCTGCTGGTGGGGGGCTGAGCCCCCTCCCCAGCCAGTGGGTGCTGAGCAGAGCCCATCGTGCTGCCCACAGCGCGCTGCTGAGGGTGCGGGGCAAGCGCCCCTTCGTCATCTCACGCTCCACCTTCGCTGGGCACGGGCGCTACGCCGGGCACTGGACGGGGGACGTCGGCAGCGACTGGGAGCAGCTCTATTACTCCGTGCCAGGTAGTCTGCAGGGTGCTGGGGCCAAATCCACCCGTGCCTGCCCCCCCTCACCATGCCTCCCCCACAACTGGGGGCTTCTCTGTGGGCTCTGTGCCCCCCTGGAGCCCCCATGCCCTCTGCACCCCCTCCGCAGAGGTGCTGCTCTTCAACCTCTTTGGGGTGCCCCTGGTGGGTGCTGACATCTGTGGCTTCGCGGGTGACACGTCCGAGGAGCTGTGCGTGCGCTGGACCCAGCTGGGTGCTTTCTACCCCTTCATGAGGAACCACAACGACCACGGCGCCCGGGTGAGCACCGGGATGGGGGGGTACCCCACGGGGCAGCGGGTTTGGGGGTGGCTGGATGCTGTGAGGCTGGGCGAGGAGGAAGGTGGCTGGCAGGGCTGTGGGGCTCACACCGGGGGGAGTCCATCCTGCATCCCCAAAAGGTGCCCTTCATGGTGTGGTCTGAGCATCCCCCTCCATCCTCTCCCCACCAGCCACAGGAGCCGTTCGCCTTCAGCCCAGCTGCCCAGGCTGCCATGAGGAACGCCCTCCGCCTCCGCTACTCCCTCCTGCCCTTCCTCTACACCCTCTTCCACCGGGCCCACTCCGCCGGGGAGACGGTGGCACGACCCCTCTTCCTTGAGTGAGTGCTGACGGGTGCTGGTGGCCACTGGGCTCGGCGGGAGGTGGGTACATGTCACCCCAGCACTGCCCCTCCTCATCCTTTCACCAGGTTCCCCAAGGACCCCAACACCTGGGCCGTGGACCGCCAGCTCCTGTGGGGTGGGGGGCTGCTGGTCACCCCCGTGCTGGAGGCTGGGAAGACCAAAGTCAGCGGCTACTTCCCAGCGGGGACGTGGTACAGCCTGGTGGGGGTGGGTGCTCCCCCCCCAACACAGCGTGGGGCTCTCGGGTGGCTGCTGGGGGTCTGTGTCAGGACTCAGCCTTTGCTTGGGGCCGTTCGAGGGCTGCAGTGCTGGGCTGGGACCCCCGTGGTGCTGGGCTGGGACCCCCATAGAATCACAGAATCGCCTAGGTTGGAAGGGACCTTTAAGATCATCTGGTCCAACCATAAAAAAAGCCCCAAACCAAGCAAAAACCAAACGAAAAACATACACCAACACTAAACCACGTTCCTGAACACCACATCAACCCATCTTTTGAACACCTCCAGGGATGGTGCCTCAACCCCTTCCCTGGGCAGCCCATTCCAAGGCTTGATAACCCTTTCAGTGTAAATATTTTTTCCAATATCCAACCTGAGCCTCCCCTGGTGCAACTTGAGGCCATTTCCTCCTGTCCCATCGCCTGTGACTTGGGAGAAGAGACCGACCCTCCCTGGCTACACCCTCCTTTCAGGAAGTTGTAGAGAGTGAGGTCTCCCCTCAGCCTCCTTGTCTCCAGGCTGAACACCCCCAGCTCCCTCAACCTCTCCTCATCAGACTGATTCTGGTGCTGGGCTGTCCCCTACGCCTGCTCTTTTCTCTTTTTGTTCTCATTTAGGACTCCACCATCCACAGCAAAGGGCAGTGGATCCTCTTGCCAGCTCCCTTGGACACCATTAACGTCCACGTCCGTGCAGGACACATCCTGCCCCTGCAGGTGAGTTATCCCCCTCCTCAAGGCTGCGGTGACACCACGGTGACCTGCCTGGCCAGCACGTGGGGCAGGGTGGAAGGCTGTGACGTGGTCCCTGGCACAGTGGCCATTGTCAGATGAGCCTGTGGTGCTCGGCCGGGGCTGGGGGAGAGCGAGGGGTGGCAGCCCCTGGAGCTGAGCCCCCCTGTCCTGCACCCCAGGAACCCGCCTTCAGCACGACCAAGTCCCGCAGGAAGGGGATGGCCTTGGTCGTGGCGCTGACGCCCGATGGCTTCGCCAGGGGAGAGCTCTTCTGGGACGACGGGGAGAGCTGGGAGACCTTTGAGAAGGGGGACTACACCGAGATCCTCTTCCTGGCCACACAGGTGGGCAAGGGGGGGGTTATGGGGGTGTGGGTGCTGGCTGCCACGCGTGGGTCCCGGAGCCCACGGGCAGCACCGTGCCCTGGTGCAACCACGCTGTGCCGTGCCCAGAGTGCCAGACTGAGCAGCTACAGCGCTGTGGGGTGGTGGGGGCCCACGGGGGATGTAGCCCCCCATCCCCAGGAGCCCACTCAGGATGGGGAGCTGGCTGCTCTCTCCTTGCACCCGCAGCGCTGTGCAGTGGTGGATGCTCTCTAGCCCCATCCTTCTGATAATTGACCCCAGACCACCCATGCCCCCAAGCTCAGTGCTCGTGTGGGGCAGGGCACCTCAGGAAGCCCGGGGTGCGTGTGGGGTGTCTGGGACCCGGGATCATGGGGTGACATCCCTGCTGTCCCCACAGGGTGCTGTGCTCAGCCAGCTCCTGCGGGCGAGCGCCCATCTCGACGGGGTCCTGCTGGAGGCTGTGACCGTGCTGGGTGTCACCAGCCCTCCCCGGCAAGTCCTGGCCAACGGTGCCCTCGTGGGGGACTTCTCCTACCGCAGCGACACCCAGGCGAGTGCTCGTCCCCCACCATGGGTAGGGTCGGGGAGGGGGAGCTGGTGGCTGGGAAGGGTTTGGCTGCAGTGATGCCACGGTTGTTGGCACCAAGGAGCATGAAGGGCTGCCCAGCGTGGGCTGGGTGGTTGCCCTGGGGCTGGGGCAGGATTAGGCCATGCGAGGGGGCGAGGGTGGGGAGATGGGGGACAGAAAGGATGCATGGTGACAGGGCTGGAGCTCTGCGAGGGGCATGGCTCTGCTCCTGGGGCTGTCTGCCATGGACACCCTTCCCAGGGGGTGTGTGGGACCGGGGCCGTGCCAGGTGGCATCTCTGGGGGGCAGGACACCCCCTGGGCTCTGGCCCCACTGATTCTCACCGTGCTGACCCTTCCTTCTCCCCCCAGGTGCTGCGAGTCCCCGTGTCACTGCCGATGTGGGAGCAGTTTGTGATCGCTTGGTCCTGAGCTCACACCGGGCCCATGGCAGGGGGAGATGCTGGTCCCTGCAGCTCGGGGGCCAAACCCCCCCTTGTCCTCCATAAAACTCGAGCTGCTGCTGCTCTGCCCACCCACCCACCCACCGTGGCTCCTGGGCTTTGGCTGCCCTTGGGGCCAATGTGGGCTCCCCGGAGATGGGTGCGCTGGACTTGGATGGTGGGGGGGGCTTGCACAACCCTGGGGATGGAGAAACCCTTATCTCCCTCAAAACAGAGAACCCTCATCTCCTCCAAAACAGAGATAAAATCACACAAGTGCCTTGTGAGACAGCAAACCTGTCACCACGCGGAACTGGTAACCTGAGGGATGGCGGGGAATCTCCCAGCTGGCTTTTTTTTGGGGAGAGAAGGATCTGTGCAGGGGTCGAGGGAGCAGTGCTGTGAATAAAGGTGGTGTTTGCTGGGAGTGGCCCCAGGTCCTGGTCTTGCCCCTCTTTGCCACTGCCTGTCCTCAAAGTGCCACTGAGCCCTGGCTCAGCCCTTGCCCTCCAACTGGGGCCCCCCCTGGCTCCATCCCTGCTTGTGGGGCTGCAGCATCATCTCCATTTCACAGGGCACTGGGAGACCCCCAGCAGCTCCCACAGCCCCTGCCACCAGGAGCAGGCAGGGCCATGCTCAATTCCAGGTAAAAATGGAGACCTGTCTCCTCCAGGAGCTTTATTGAGGAGCAACTTGTCCCTACAGCTCCTGGGGCCAAGAGCAAAGGCACGAGGATCCCTGAATGCTCTGGTGGTTGCGATACAGAGAGCAGAGTCCCGGGGTGTCACCCCAGGGTTTGGGGCTGTCCCGTGGCCGTGGTGACCCGTGGCAGAGGTGACACTCACAGCTCGTTGTGCAGCGGCCGGCACTGGGGGCTGAGTTTCTCCTCCAGGACAGCGTCGGGGGCACACACCCAGGGGTCACTGGTGTCCCACTGCCACTTCAGGAGCTGTGCACGAAGCTGCTGGAAGATGGGGGCGTAGCGGGGGTCGGGGGCCAGGTTCTGGCTCTCGGTGGGGTCACGGCTGCAGTCGAAGAGCTCCCAGCGATCCCTGTAGTAGTACTGGTGCAGGGTCTTGTTCCAGTGGGTCGGTTGCCCGGCCTGGCTGCGGTTGAGCAGGTCTTGGAAGGTGGGGGAGACGTAGAAGTCCTGGTCAATGGGGAAGGGCATCTTGTAGTTGAGGTTGTGAATGAGGCGGAACTGCTGGTGCTGGATGGCTCGCATGGGGTAGTACATGGTCGCCTCGTGGTGGCTCTGGCTGCTGAAGGTGGTGGCCCAGGGCTGCTCTGACTCCAGCGCTGGCAGGAGAGACTTCCCGCTGAGCTGCACCCGCTTCGTGCCAAAGATGCTGTAGGATGGGTAGGGGATGGAGAACCAGTCCAGAATGGTCGGCGTCAGATCTGGAAGAGGAGGAGAAGGGTGAGAGGAGAGGCTGGGGGGGAACTCAGCCCTGGAGAGGGGCAGAAAGGTCCCCAGGGTCAGCTGCGGATGGTGCTGGGGTGAGCTGTGGAGCTGAGCCCTGGGATGATGTCCCCACAGGGGACCCTGCTGCTCCATCATCCCTCCTCTCCCTTCCCGGGCTGGCCGTGCTGATGTTGAGGGCTGTGGGCTCTCCTCCAGGACAGGACCCTGGGTTTCGGCGTGGGGAAGGTGGGGACCAGCTCACCTCCCCCCAGCACGACTCTGGAAGCTTCTGCTCTCTCCTGGGGACATCTGGAAGAGGAGGAGAAGGGTGAGAGGAGAGGCTGGGGGGGAACTCAGCCCTGGAGAGGGGCAGAAAGGTCCCCAGGGTCAGCTGCGGTCGCCTCGTGGTGGCTCTGGCTGCTGAAGGTGGTGGCCCAGGGCTGCTCTGACTCCAGCGCTGGCAGGAGAGACTTCCCGCTGAGCTGCACCCGCTTCGTGCCAAAGATGCTGTAGGATGGGTAGGGGATGGAGAACCAGTCCAGAATGGTCGGCGTCAGATCTGGAAGAGGAGGAGAAGGGTGAGAGGAGGGGCTGGGGGGGAATTCAGCCCTGAAGAGGGGCAGAAAGGTCCCTGGGGTCAGCTGTGGATGGTGCTGGGGTGAGCTGTGGAGCTGAGCCCTGGGATGATGTCCCCACAGGGGACCCTGCTGCTCCAGCGTCCCTCCTCTCTCCTCTCCCTTCCCAGGCTGGCCTGATGCTGAGGGCTGCAGGCTCTCCTCCAGGACAGGACCCTGGGTTTCGGCGTGGGGAAGGTGGGGACCAGCTCACCTCCCCCCAGCACGACTCTGGAAGCTTCTGCTCTCTCCTGGGGACCACGGGCTCTTACCCAAGAGGGAGGCGAAGGCCTGGCTGACCTGTCCCCAGCGCCCGGTGTGCTCCGGGGAGGAGATCAGCAGGGGCTCGGCCGTGCCCGACCGGTAGAGGTTGGTCCTGCCGCTGGGGAAGGGGATGCCGTTGTCGGAGGTGTAGATGACCAGCGTGCTGTTGTGGAAGCCGGCCCGGCGCAGCTCCTCCAGCACCAGCCCGATCCCTGCGGATGGAGGGGCAGAGCTGAGGAGGGGGATGCAGGAGGGACAGCAGGGCTCCCCGGTGCCAGCCTGCCCCCCCCCCACCCCCGGCTCCTACCTTGATCCATGCGCCCGATGGTTGTGTACTGGGCTGCCAGGTCCGCCCGGGCAGCTGGTGTGTCCGGGACAAAGTGAGGGACCTGAATGGAGGAAGGGAAAGCGGCATGTGGCAACCAGGGGAAGGAGGTTGCGGGTCCACCAGGGTGCCCTTTGCCAGCTCTCACCCAAACACTGATGGTGGGGGCCAGCCCGCAGCCATCCTGGCTCTGGAGGAGGCTTCTGTCACATGCAGCCCCCATATAGCCCCATGCAGCCCCCTTATAGCCCCATGCAGCCCCCATATATCTCCATGCGGCCCCGTATATCTCCATGCAGTCCCATGTAGCCCCTTGCAGCCCCATATAGCCCCTTGCAGCCCCCATATAGCCCCACGCAGCCCCCCAGGCTCCCACCTGCACTTGCTCTGGGCGGTAGAGCTGTGGCTTCCAGTCAGGGATCCAGCCCATGCCGCTTTCTCCGTTGCCAAATTTCTCACAAAAGGCCCCGTATTGGGGCTGGGAGTGCCCGCAGCGATGGGGGTCGTGGAAGGCGACGTAGAGGAAGAAAGGCCTAGAGGTGGAGAGGGTGGAGGTGGTGTGGAGGTGGCAGCAAAGGGCTGCCCCCATGCCCCAAGACCCTCCCTGGGCTGTGGAGGGATGAGCTGGGGCCGGTGGGAGAACTCCCACCTAATCTGGGTTTCTGGATAACGGCATGACCCAGAGATGAGGTGGCCCTTCCTGTTTGTGACCAAGTATGGCATGAAGACATGTCTCCCTCTCCTCTCCCGTGCCCGCCCTGGGATGGCAGGGTCCATCTCACCTCTCGTCCTGGCTCCGCAGGAACTGCCGGACCAGCGCTTTGATCCTCGTGATGTTCCTCCCCACCTGCAGGACCGAACTGTTCTCCTCCGTGTAGGCGAAGTCGAAGGGGTAGACGGCCTCGGGCCCAACGTGCTTCTTCCCAATTATCCCTGGAAGAACACAAACAGGGGGTGTGCCGGGAGCTGGAGTTGGGGGGACACTGGCTGCTGCTCTCTCCTCCCTCGGGGGCTGATGCACCTCGTCTGCTCCAGCACGGGCTGCCCTCAGCAAACACTGTGGAGTTGAAGGTCCTCCCGGCTTCTCCAGCCATTTCTGGTGGTTGCAGAGGGACTTCCACACCTGCTCAGAAACTGGGACCCACTCGAGGACCGCCCTGCCCCAGGTCATCAACGTGGGTAAGCGCCAGTGCAGCTGAGTGGCCCGGGTGGAAGTTTGGGTCAAGCACGAGCCTCGTGCAAAGCTGGGAAGTGGGAAGGAGCGGGATGGGGAAGGGAAGTGAGGGTGAGGTGTCACGGGGGTGGCAGAGGAGCAGCGGTGGGGGAAGTGAAGCAAGACCCAGGTCTCAGCACAGAGCAGGATGGTGGGTCCAGGCGGTGTTGTCTCCAGGCGAGCTGTCAAGTTCTCCCACCCGAAGGGTTCGGTGGTTGGATGGGGAGGGTTTCCCTGCCCATTCTAACCTGCCCTGGGCTCCCTACCTGTCCGGACGCGCGCGTGGCTGAGCAGCCGGGGCAGGCTCCGCACGCTGTCGAAGGAGTTGAAGTGATGGACGTCCTGGTGCAGCCCGTACATCCCGTTCTGGTGCTGCAGGTGGGGAGAGACAACACGGTTGGGCCAGCGGGCACAGGAGGATGGCCAGACCATGCCCTAAGAGTGCCAGCTCCTGGTCATCCCCGACCACTCCACCGTGGACTGGTGACCCCCATCCTGGTGCCTGGGGGTGCCCCTACCTGGGGGAGGCCGGTGAGGATGCTGGCCCTGCTGGGGGAGCAGCTGCTGACGGAGGTGAAGGCGTTTTGGAAGATCACGCTGCGCCGGGCCAGAGCGTCCAGGTTGGGTGTCCGGATGGCCGAGTTGTTGTAGGCGCCGCTCTCAAAGCCACCGTCGTCTGCTGCCGTGGGAAGGGTGTAGGGTGAGCCCCTCGGGGCCGGGGGGGGGGGCTCTGCCGGGGCTGCGGCCGCACTCACCCAGGAAGAGCAGCACGTTGCGGGCCGGGGCCGGGGCTCCGCCGGTGCGGAGAGCGCCCAGCAGCAGCGCCAGCGCCCAGAGCCCCATGGCGGCGGCACCGGCAGCGATACCGGCACCGGTAACGGCAGCTCGTGCAAAGCTGGGAAGTGGGAAGGAGTGGGATGGGGAAGGGAAGTGAGGGTGAGGTGTCACGGGGGTGGCAGAGGAGCAGCGGTGGGGGAAGTGAAGCAAGACCCAGGTCTCAGCACAGAGCAGGATGGTGGGTCCAGGCGGTGTTGTCTCCAGGCGAGCTGTCAAGTTCTCCCACCCGAAGGGTTCGGTGGTTGGATGGGGAGGGTTTCCCTGCCCATTCTAACCTGCCCTGGGCTCCCTACCTGTCCGGACGCGCGCGTGGCTGAGCAGCCGGGGCAGGCTCCGCACGCTGTCGAAGGAGTTGAAGTGATGGACGTCCTGGTGCAGCCCGTACATCCCGTTCTGGTGCTGCAGGTGGGGAGAGACAACACGGTTGGGCCAGCGGGCACAGGAGGATGGCCAGACCATGCCCTAAGAGTGCCAGCTCCTGGTCATCCCCGACCACTCCACCGTGGACTGGTGACCCCCATCCTGGTGCCTGGGGGTGCCCCTACCTGGGGGAGGCCGGTGAGGATGCTGGCCCTGCTGGGGGAGCAGCTGCTGACGGAGGTGAAGGCGTTTTGGAAGATCACGCTGCGCCGGGCCAGAGCGTCCAGGTTGGGTGTCCGGATGGCCGAGTTGTTGTAGGCGCCGCTCTCAAAGCCACCGTCGTCTGCTGCCGTGGGAAGGGTGTGGGGTCACCCCTGACCCCCGGCGTGTCCCCCCAACCCCGTGCGGGGAGGCACCGGGGGACACTAATGACACCGGGAGCATCCCCGGGCTGAGGATACCCCGGGCTGAGGATGCCCCCGGTGCTGCGGTGCAGCGGGGACACAGCGGGACCCCTGGGACTGTCCCTCCCCCGAGCCCGGGACAGGGGAACCCCGCGGCGGGGCCGGGGCCGGGGCTGGGGGCGGCGGGCGCGGAGC